TGGAATTCCTCTTTTCCCCACCTCATCGTGGGCGAGACTTGTTAGTGGAAAGCAGGGAAGACCATTCATGATCCTGTCGAAGTCGAGCCTTTGAAATACGCCACGAATCCGCCGCGGCGTCGTGTTGCAAGTACGCTTGCAAGTACAGTGGCTGTGAGAATATCCGCTTGCGCTTGTTGCAGCAACGCAAGCAATCTCTTAAGGGCGACTCTGAATCGGAGAGAGACCATTACCGGCGATCAATCCGGATGCCTAGCCACATGAATTAATTATCCACTGGCCGCTCGAATGCTCTGATGACACCCCCTACACGACCTCACAATCTCGGACGGCGAAGACCCTCAAGTTACCCGACGGCAGCACCAATCTGGGGACTCAACCAGGTCTCCCGAAGGTACGGCGGCAAGCGAATGATTTCGCTGCTGGACCATGAGCGAATTTCGCGAGAACACCTCAATTTCCTTCACTCACTGCTCATTCGAGCGCAGCCAATCAGAGCATCCTCCCCCCGCGCATCCGACGGGCTTGCGGTCCCCCGTCCTTTTTCTATCGACCGAAGCTTCTTGAGATGCTGATTGTCGGACGGAGAACTGTGCGCGTGTTCCTCGTCTCTGGCAGGGCCACTCAATGAACGAGCACCGTTTCTCGGCAAAATACAAGCGTCATTCCGGATCATGAGTCATCGACGCTGGCTTTCGTTTGATCACCCTCTTTACTCCCCTGCCGGGTTACGGCAATCGCTCTCCCCCGCCCGCTCTCCGTCGCGGGACTGAATGTCCTTTTCTCGAGAATGCGAGGAATCCTTCTCCGAATGGATGAAGGAGGAGTACCGTACATATTCCAGTTCAAGCCCCTCTCCAATAGTAGCCCGTCTCCGACAGAAGCCCCTCGGCGGGATTCTCGAGTCGAATAGTTGCCCGTCTCGGACAGAACCCCCTCGAGGGGAATCGAATCAGATTTCCGAGAAGCTCTGTTCAAGAATATACCTCGACTTTCAGAAGTCACGAGAAATACAGCTTCCTGAAGTCTCTTCTTCCTAATCACCGTCATTGCACAACCGCGCGCAGATTCATGGGGAGCTCCCCTGTAATAGAAGCCCCTCTCCAACAGAAGCCCTCCTGCGAAGGTGTTTCAAATAATAGCTGCCCGAGCTTCTATTGGGATATTTACGGTACCCAAATTGCGTGGTGCTATAAGGGGGAGGAATGACCCTTCGGGTGGTCTCAGAGCCCCAGTGATGAGGACCGGGGAGTCGATTTCATAGATCTGAGCCTCCCGTGAGCCAGCTTCTTCCACTTCAGATTTTGACTCCCGATCGGAATATGATGAGCCGCCTCGATTATAAGGAGCACGCATCTTTCTGAGGCAGACGTATCGAGATCTGTCAGCATGCAACACGTATACGGAAGACGAGAGACTTCTCTTCAACCCCCATCGGACTTCACGGGCTTGGCGGATTCGTTGACATCTGAATACGACTCCTGCGGCTCAGATGCGTGAGCAGCCTGTAAGCGCCTTCATTGGACCCCACCCGCGATTCGGAACGAGACCTTCACAAGAAATAGGACGGAATAATGCGATATGCAAATCTGTGCGCATTTATTCGACAGCCTCCTCTATACAAACAAATAACTACAAAACAACATATAAATACACCTTCATCTTACCCATGCTTAACTTGAATATATTAAAATAATTTCGCGACGAATTTCATCATACCTATGAGAGTCTCCATGGTCGGTGTGGCGAATCTCAATCCGAGGAATCGTCGGAGTCATCCTCTTTGGATTGAATCGACACCTCGCGCATTCCCATGATGAGCATTTTTACTCTGAGCTCATCAGAGATCTCGCCCGATTTCTGGAGACTGCCGATCATCGCGGGACCGGCCTCCGATGCCAGTGTACCGTCAGGCAACAGGTGCTTGCAGATACATCTGTAGGCGAACGGACAGTGCCTCCAGCGCTTGAAGTACGTGCACTTCTTGGTGGACAGAGCCTTCAGGTAGCACTCGAGAAGGACGTTCTTGAAGTCGTCATCCCTGACGAAGTACCTCGATGGCATCACGAAGCTCGAGGGAATCCTACACTCAGGGCACTCACGTGCCAACTTGGTTTTGGAATCCTTCCACCTCCTGATACACTGGAAGCAGAAAACGTGATCGCAGTTTTCAAGAAGACCGAACTTCCTGTCATCGGCCGGCTCCTTGCGCACAACAACGTCGGTGCACACCACGCACTGCAGCTCTGCGGAGCTCGAAATCATCTCGGCGATTTTTCGGTACGCCCCCGAGTCTCGTGGCAGTCCCTGAGATGTTGATTGTTGAATGAGGGATTGAAGGGGTGAATTATGAACCGATGACACGACGTACAGGACGAGCCATGAACGGCCATGCATTTTTTGTGTATGCAGGTACCGGTCATCGCATGGTATTCACATTGAGAAACGCCCGCGGGCGGGATGTTCTCTATGGTCCTTCTCATTCGCATGCTGCGAACTCTTCCTGTCTGGTCATCGACCGGATCTGGGGATGAGGAACCCGACGCACCGGCGGAATCGAGGTTCTCGTCGTGGCGCTTCTTCCCGATGGATATCACATTTTCGCTCCCGTCCGGACGAATGAGGATGTGGTCGTAGTTGCAGCGATTTTCGTATCTGCAGTTTCCTCTTAGGAAGAATTGACAGGTATTGTCAACGATCCCAGTGGCCCTGTCGTGGGAACGTCTGCATCTATCGCCTTCCTGGCACGTATTCGAAAGGAAGTATCGGCACAAGATACGACGAGGATCGAACTCAGCCATCCTGGAACTCTTCTTTCGTTCGGCAACTTGTACAGACTGACCCGAGTCTCCGTCGGAGATGCGTGCGTTGGAACGGCGTTCGCCTCGCTGTTGGTCCGAATCCTCCTGACGGATTCGCGTGGGTAGATCCCTCGAGTCGTCGAGCAGGCCGTCGAACGCAGCGGATTCTCCGGGGTTTTGGGAACAAGGAGATCGAGTTCGATTTCCGCGTCGGGAGGCTCTTTTTCTAGGGCATAGCGGAGAGAGATCTCTCGAACTCGATAGAGAGACCTCCCACCGGTAGAAACGAGGAAGCCACGATGAGCTCCTCGGTCTCGCACTTCCGGCGAGGAGGGCTCCTCCGCTAGCCGGGTGCGAGATCGATGAGTGGAGGGGTTGCAGAAGAGATCGCTGCGCACGATTAGAATCGATGCGCACGCTGACGATCGCAACTCACTCGAGCTCGACCACGCAGCTGAGGTTCGACGTCCCGGGCTCCGCCGATGGCATCGCTTCCGGAGACGGAACCACCGAGCAGATGTACCCGGGCGGACCAGAGCCGGGGAGAGGCAAATTTCGCCGCCGGGGGTTGAACCCAGGCCACCTCTCGCGTGAACGGCGTCGCTGCGGCCTCCTACGAATGAGAATCTTACTTCGTGGAGAGCACGTTCGCACGCACTGACCGACGCGCTAACCACCCGGCCAGCCGGAGGCACACGCTCAGTGCACCCCTCTGCGCTGACCTCCCTCAAGATTTTATTGGCGTCAGACATTCTCCGGCTCAGCGTATTCGATTCTCAAGCGTCCGAATACGCTTGATGAGATTCTTCCCCTCCCGGTCGCGCTCTGGACCTCGGTATTGAGAGCGGGTCCGCTCCTCTCTAATGTACATGAGTCTTGCACTTATCGAGCGCATGAAATGGCCGGCGCCGTCATTGTCTGCCATCTTGAGAGCGGCAGTTCCATACTGACACCCTTGATACGAATGCCGGAGCTATTCTCGTGGAATCCCAACCCGTGCCGAGCAGACCGCTCCGAGGATTCTGCGAAGAGCTCAATACGAAGTCCAGGAAAAGCATCGACATGTCGCGAACGAGGTCCCTCATTTCAACCTCAATTTTCAGGAGGCTCGTCATCAACTCTCAAGAGGATTCATCACACGCCATGTCAGCATTAGCCGAACGATTGCGGCTGAGGTGATCGATCATGTACGTCCCATCATTTCGTCAACATCAGGAGGAGCTCCGGGTAATTGAAGGGTGCCGATGTGAGGATCTTCTCGATTTAGAAATGAGTTCCCCAGCAATATCTTGGGATGAACTCCTGTGCGGAGAATGAAAGTGGCACCCGAAGCCATCTATGGTAGCTTCGACTACAGAAAGGAAGCTCTGTGCTATTCGATGTCGCTCGGAGCCTGATGACTGATGACAATGAACATTCGGTCGCGGAGCTGACTTCCAAGGGGCTTTCCAGGCTCTGCTCGACGCACTCAGCCTCGTAGGACGTGACGGACAGAGAAAGTCCGGAGCGGATCTCAGAGCTATCGTTAGGCTCGAGAGCTTCGGAGCGGCGCTACTAGCGTGTGTTTTGAAGGAATATATTCCTTCATTTTGGAGAGTCGATTCCCGACATTCAATCTCTAGGATCGGTATATTGTCGAAGATACCAGCAAACCGAAAATATATTGTCGAAGATTCCTCGGTAGTCATGTCCGAAGATACCAGCAAACCTTATTATTGACCGAACTCTCTCCGATTGAGGCTAGGAGGGTCAGTCGATGGGGGAGGCTGTCCCACCGCTCCATCCAGAGGAGAGGCATCGTAGTAATGAGGTTCTATCAAACCTAGCTCAATGATCCTCCTACACTCTCCTGCCAGGACCTCAGTTGTATAAATTCTTGGTATTCATTCTCCCCCGGAACATCAATATTTTATTTCATTCCATCTCTCTGATCGTCACAAGTGCTCCGAAGACCGAATGTGTCTCTATAGATCTCGCAGCTTGGTTGGTCTTCTGGATGTAATCGTGACTGTCCTCTATCGAAAAGGATGACGTAGCCATCAATATGCCCTCTACGGATGAGAGCCTGATTGAAATCATCCGGACTTGACGGAAGTCATCGCTTCCAGGTATTGACAAATCCTCCGTGCGTTGTCACCGGCGAAATCCTTCTAAGCCTCGTACCCCGACGAGGGATCAACCTCTGAGTACGGTGGGAATAAGCTACGATGATCACCGATTGAGATTCGCTCAATCAAAACAATCAGCTAATCGACTGGAGCGCAACGAGAGCGACTTCTGACGCATTACTCAAGCCGCATCTTTTTTCTTTTCTCGAAGGAGAGAGAGGTACTCGTCAATCTCTTTGAGAATTTCCCGGTCCCCGAGCGCCTTCGCGAGCCTCTGGGCCCTATCGAACACCTCCTCAGCTTCTGTGAATCTCCTTTGAGTGATATAATTCATGCCAAGATTGCAGAGGAATATGGGAAAATCCTCGGATGCTTCGAATTGTTTCAACGAAGTTATCTCCTCTAAAATGCTGACTGCTTTCCGTACATCTCCGAGACGCTGGTGTACCAGCGCCAAATTGCTGTAAATGACCAGGTTCTGACCGTGATCATCTCCGAGGAATTTCCGCGAAATCTCGAGAGCTTCCGTCAGCATCTGTTTCGCTTCCTCGTACCGGGCGCGCTCAAGCAAAAAACTTGCGTATTGATCCATGCAAAGTCCGAGAAGCAGATGATTGTCTTTGGTGAGGTTGCCAGCGTCGTTTTGCTCGCTCGCGAGTTTCTTTCTCTGGGAGTCTATGCAGAACCTGTAACCTAGCTCAGCCTTCTCGTCGTCACCCTGACGTCCGCTCATATTGGCGATCTTCATTGACATTTCCACGATAGCATTGTCGTCCATCGGAGCTCCGTTCGAGATGGATCGTTTCATTGTTTCCACAAAGAGTTTCTCAGCTTTAGGATAATCGCCCCGTTCATACGCGATGTTCGCCATCAAATCATAGCAGTAGGCGATTGCTTTCTCGTCGAGGAGGTCTTGACTCATTTTCAGAGCTATGTGAAGGAACTTCTCTGCCTTGTTGTACTCTTTCCGCTGCAGCGCCAGAACCCCGCGCTTCAGAGTATCGGTAAGAGGGTCATCCTTCTCTCGTCTTTCTAAGCCGAAGAGAGCTAGGATTCCCGCCAGACAGAACTTCTTGGAACCCGTGAACAGTGGTCTCCTGGAATTATTCGGCTCATTGTTAGTGGAAATCGTATAGCTCATCTGGACTGATTCGATATCATAAATGGAGTTCACAGGGTTTCCCGAAGGATTTCGAGGACATCGACGATCTCATTCCATGGCGCTCCACAATGGGAGCTCTAAGCGGGATTCTCACCGAGTGTGATTGTAGATTGGCGCGCTCCTCGAATGAAGTTTACATGCTGTAGTCGAGACGAGTCGCGATGAAAATGAAGCAGCGTCATTGGCATGACTCTTTGTCGGGAGGAGAATCCGTCGGCAACTCGCAGAATTGCGGAGGATAATCCGCGCTGCGCTCGAAATCATGCTCGGAAAACTCTTTATTCCCGCGCGGAAACTCTTGAACAATCGAGCGACGTGCCCGAATCGCGAGACTTCACAGGGGGGAGCTCTGGATAGTTCATCTCACTAGTATTGGAGCTATCATTTGAGGACTGGCTGCTTTTCCCGAAGACCTCTCTCCGCGAAATTCATGTCACAAACTACACCGGAGGAGCAGCTGGTTCCGCGCTTTATTCTTTCTCGGAAAGCACACACAACGAAGGTTGCTCGGCGTTCTGCTACTCTGCTCCGTCTGCGCTCGACTCTGTTGTTAGAGCGGACGAGCGCGCGATTCGAACTTCGTGCCACCCGCTTTCGCTTAACGCAGGGATGTCAAATCGCGGGCCAACGGGCCGAACTGGCCCGCCAAGTTCTCTTTCTTGGCCCGCGAAGCGCCTCGGTCGTTATATCCGACGTCTAACATACGCTCCGATTCTTGATATCTTGATCTCGTGAGAGCAGAGAGGATCCGGAGCTTGTCATCGTGAGGAATGAAGAGTATTGGGTACTCCCGCGTCTAGAAGACTTCGGATGGACTTCAAATAGGGCCTGTGTTGATGTTCTGGAATTGAGACGGGAAGTCTTTTTTCGTAAAAAAAATCTCTCCTGTTCTTGAATGAACTTCCTGATTTCCAGACGGACGAGCTCACTCGCCTGTCGCATATTCTGGTAGTCTCCCTCCTGGAGAGGGATCCCCATCGGGCTGACCTCGTCAAGGGTTAGGACTGCCCATAGATATTCCGACGATTTTCGATGGAGGACCGTTCTTATTGCTCAATTATAATTCTTCGATATGACAATCGATTGCTCTCCTGAGCCTGGACCGAGAGGATTCACGTTGGGAATTCCTGGCGTTGATGCTTGATACTGACTCCTAATTTCTTCTCTGGATGGATAGGAAAGAATATGATTGTCGCTCGGAATATGAGGGAGGCAGGACGATGACTCGGACAGGGATGCAGAGAAAAAGATTGCTAGCCCCCCGAGACCAAAAGGCACCCTTGTAGGTATTTGAGCCTCAGAGGCAAGAACTCTATTTCGCCCCGTACGCCACTCCTGGACCCTGGACAGGCGCGTTCTGCGGATTCCCCTGAAGGTTCACGTAGAAGGATTCATAGCAGGTGATTGAGATGTTGTAATATATGCTTGGACTCATTATCAGGTCTATACATAAGTTTTATGGAGAAAGCAGGAATCTCGATCATGGGATCGCTCTCTTCGGCACGTGCTAGAGTTCGCAATCTCATCCGACCCGGATCCCATCAGGGCTTGGGTATTAGGGATCCGGATGATGCATCATGCAGATTCGTTCCGAATTATGGACTAAACAAGTTCTCTGATGGGTCGACAGCCGCGACCTAGGTCGCTGCATCCTGAAGCGAGCCATTACTTGGGGCAAGACAACGCGAGGTCCGACGCTTTTCCCTCATCCAACTGTCGGATGGGACAGAGAATAATCATTCCGGAAAGTGATTCATTGCCTTCCCTGTCGGAGATCAATGAATCGTCAGCGAGCGCGCATGTCGGAGATCGTCAGCGTCTTGATCACAAGCTTGGGGCGAAAAAAGAACCGTTTCTTGGGTCGATGCCATTCTCGACAAGGGTTTCTCGTGGAATAACTTTCATATACTTTTTGCGGAAATGCTCCTCGATAAGCACTCGTGCGCGCCTGAGCGAAAACGTTCTTCGTAGCGGCGTCACGATATCATGCGAGGCTAGAGTGAAGATTTCCACAAGCCTGTCGAGAGATCCCTGAGCCGCGTCTCCTACGAAAGTCATAAGCAATCTATGTTGCTGCGTGCGATTGTCCTTAGTCTCTCGATGCAAGCGTACCCTGCGTTTGCTCACAGTACCACAGAGGAGCTCTCCTTGAACGATGCGTCCGCCACCGCGGAGAGTTTCGCCCTCCGGGCGGGCATCCGACCGGGTAAACTCCTCATCGTGCTAACAAACGTGAGCATCATCGGGAAACTTGAGATCAACGGAAGCCTCATCAACTGGACACCCCTGCATACGGAATGGAAACAAGAGAGGAATTATGTGCAACCTGTCTATCTCGAAGTGGTGGCCACGAGCATGAGGGTTGTCGTCATAACGAGTGAGCCAGACGAATGGATGTACAACGCGCTCGAGAACCTCCGACACAACCTGCTCCTACTTCTGATTGTGGGTAAGAGGAGAAGAGGAAATCCTCAACCAGTCTTCAACGTGCTCCGATTGACTGTGGATCAAACCCGCGAATTCATTTGCGTGGAGAGTTTCGATCATCTGGTTGTTTGGAGGAAACGAGCATCAATAGAAACTTGTTGGCCCTCCACGACGAAGTGTTCTCTGGGAAAGTTATCCCTCTCTCTCAAGCCGAATGAATTTCACCAAAAAGTGCAGCTTGAGAGTCTCGTCGCATGTAATACGACCGTGATAAAATTGAGTTTTTTACTCAATCAGATTCCTCGGGACATCGCTGAGAGAAGCATACTGATGCGGTACTCGATTACAAATATCAGGCAATTGTCACTTTTCGGTCTGATCGGCTGGCGTCACCGCAATGCTGCCGCGCTGACCGAGCCGCTCGATTCGGACCTATGGACCTCCATACTAATCAGCATCGTTCTAGTCGCTGGAGTCGTTTCATGGACGAGTAGGACGAGCTTCTTGGACTTGATAGTCGAGATAGCGATGAAGTTCATCTCATCAGTGAATATTCACACGAATAGCCGAAGATTGTCTCCGCTAATCGCATTGGGCTCTGTTTCGGCATTCTGTTTTTTCCTGATTCGATTTTACCTGAGTTCCATCACGGTCACCTTGCTCAACCCGAGGGAGCTGACCGTTTGCACGCACGCGTTCACTTGTCGCAACGTGATTTCGTGCTACTCCCGTCGTCGAACCGTTGGTGACCTCTTCCGAGGATACTGCATCTATGACCTGAACGCTGTCCAGCAGTTCTTCGTCGGATTCCCTCTACAGAGACTGGTGCGCGACTGGAAGCCCACTTCCGGGCACATTTGGTGGAATTATATGTACATACAAAGGCATCCCGATTCGAGTCGTTATCTCGACGGCAGGGGACAATTGCTGATGCACCTCATCAGGGTCAGCTCGACAATCGAGCGTATGATAGAGACCGGTGTTGTTTCGGACAAGCTCTTGGAGCCCAGATATGACGACGTGGGTCGGCCGCCTCGGAGACAACCTCGGGGTCTGCCCTCTGTGATATCTTTCGGAAGAAAGAAGAACACTAAGAAGAGCGCCAAACGTCGTCGAAAGAATAAGAGGGAGCTACGACTCCTCCTCTTCGATACAACTCTTGAATGGTATGACATGGAGGATTTCAGGGAGATAGCAACAGTTTCCGGTATCTTCCTGATGGTGGGCCTCGTCATGGTCTGCGTTGAATCAGTCTTCGGATACCTCCGGAAACCCCTCATCGTCCCCGCTGGAACCTTGAGCAAAGCCCGCCAGAACGTATCGGATATGAAAATTTCTTCTCCATCGATGACTCTCGTTCAGACGCCGGCGACGGAGCTCGTACGAGTCTGATCGCTTTCAGGGTTCCGAGTGCGAATATTTATCGGAAAGTCAGCGCGGTTGATCTCAGATCGATGCGACCGGCCGAGAACTCCCGAGCTCCATCAGACGCGACACTCCGCGGAAGCTGAGATCGACACGGGAGCTCTCGGGAACGCCGTCAACCTAGCTCATGGATTCCTCAGCCGAAGCCCAGGTCACCAATGCAGAAATGAAGAATTCTGGCGAGAGAAATAAATGTACATAAAATTACGATTCATTATTTTCCGACGAACCTCGAGGGATTCCCCTCTAGGCCTCATGCAACCCTTCTGTCAGATCTCTTCTCCGGAGACGGTTTGGTACATTTCACTCCGTTACTCCGCGGGGAGTCGGATGAACGACGTCTCCTTCAACTACAGAACTAATTCATTTTGTACAATGTCCCAAAACAGAGACTTCACAACTAATCTAATGAAAGTTTACATTGCAAGCCGGAAATGTATCCGAAATAATCATACTTTCGAGACGTCCAAAAATAGGGAATCAGCCGACATTGGCGTTTGGCGACTAGACGAGGCCTATCACAATTCGAATGCTTACGGAAATCTGTTCAGATCTGATCGAATAGGAAAACCAGTCTGTCAGCACTCGATCACTTGCCATTCTTTTTTCCATGAAAACCTAAATCACTATACATACACCAGTACATAATGCGTCTTCAATGACGCCACCAATATCATTTTCGTCCTCATTGCGTCCTGGACACAAAACTGTGTCTCCTCTGCAGCCCATCATCAGGTGAGTGCACACTGTGCGAAGAAAGAACAACATCCAGAGAACCATGAGCGGCGACCCCGTTTCTACCCGAAAATTTCAAGACAACGACCTTCAGCGAATAATTCCAGCGATTGTGACCATCGGTGGGCTAGGGATCCGGCTCAGAACGCCCTAGATTTCCACATGACTTTGTTGAAAGCATAATAAAACCCTGGATTTGATTCTTTTGGGAAGGGGTATTTTGTGAGCATTCCTCCTTCGGGAGATCATCTCTCGCACGATTCCTCCAGAAATTCACGCTGAGTTCTTTCCGCCGTACGGAGCTGGAACGCACAAGGCTCTGATTGATAGTATCAAAAAGTTGAGGTGAGTCATGTGAGAAAAGTGCATAAGCTCGGTAGGGCCAAGGGGGAGTTACAGTCTTGTGACCACATCAGATCTGAACTGAGGTGCGGACTGCTGGGAGCGCTTTGGCGGTAATGAGGGGGGAATGTCTGTGCTGCTAAGCGATTTCGTAGCATTTTGGCTATGCTTGGCTTTCGGCGGTAGCGGAGGTTTTGCCGGCGGAGGTCCATCCTCGTCGTCGAGTTCCTCGGTCGATGATAGTCCTCCATCGGTTGACCCGTTGTCAGAGAAATCTGTGCTGCACGTCCGGTGCGCCTTGAAATGGATTCCGCCTGGGAACGATACAGAAGAGAAACGACTTGAAGATGCGTGTCGATCGAGACCTTCTCTCCGTCAGAATCCAGGCTCAATTTTATTAAAGTCTGTTTATTAAACGAGTTCATGTCATCAAAAGGGATAATAAACAAGACTCTTGTCGACAATGAGGCGACATCATGGAAGGCTCACGGGGAGTGAAATCCAATCGATGACGTAATTTTTCCAGAAGAGAGATCATTTGCCAGCGTCACGTGATGAAAAACTTCTTGTATAAAAGTCCAATCTTACAGGGCTCGGTCAACGTGCTTTTGGCATGTGTTTCACATCCCCAAGAGCATAACCGTCACTGAGAATAACAAGGACAAGCTTCCGTCGAGCAAGAAGTTGTGCGACACCATGAAGAGACAGCACGCGAGAAATATACAGAAAATCAGACGCGTGGCTCTATCGAGATCGGGTGCGCACTCTGACATTATATGCTCGTGACCCTCCGCAGGATCCGAGCCGGGCTGTCTGCATCAGAGGCAGTCGAGGATCATCACCCAGGGACAGGTGATCTTGGCGAAGGGTTTTCTGACTGAACGGAGCCGACTCCGATCAATGTCATGATCTCCTCGCTCAACTCTGCTCTCATTGAGACTCGAGCATCGAGCAGGGCTACTCGACAGGTACCCACTTTCCGACAGACTGCGATCAGATTGTGTGCTCCAAATTTCCTCTAGCCCCGCGAGATCGACACCGTAAATGCTCTGGTACGCGGAAATCGTATCGCCTGCGTCACCACACGATGCTTCTGAAGACTCCACTTGAGTCGCCTCCAGAGCTGAGTCATTTTCTTTCGTGAGACCTTCGATTGATGTGCGCAGTTCATCGTAGAGCTCTTCGGCAAGCCCTTCGGTCTCAGCTAGGCTACGATAGGCTACGGGGCGGGGGAGGGTCAAGGGGAGAGGATTCCAAGTACCTTGTTCCAATCCATCAAGAGAGCCGACGGGCGTCACAGCAGATGACGTCGGGAGACTTCGAGCGGAACTCCGTCTACCGCCAAGTCGTGGAAGAGTAGAGCAGGAAGCCGATGTGTCTTTTATGGGCCGACTCCTGGTGGTCGATGAGCTTGCGAGATTGGTCGCCGAGTCTGAGAGCAGGCGGGACTCCGACTTTGAGTGTGAGACGCTCAATCTAGAAGAGAGTATTTTTTTTTGTAAACCAACGCTACGAATGTGGAACATGATCAAGATCGTTGAGGAGTTTAATTGTGCTGGGGAATCCAGTCATGTTAGACCTCTGCTCCCGGTCATACCTGTTGAAGCTCTTCGAATGCTTCCTAAAAGGGAACAGAACATCTGTGCTTGCGGAAGACAACGGTAGAAGTTCCGATGATCCTTTGAGGAGATGCTGTATATCGACGCCTTTGTTCCGCAAAGTCAAGAGAATATTGCGCTCGGCTTCCACGTAATGATTATACTCGGTTATTTTCTGTTGATAGGAACGTTTCAATTCCAAAAGCCTGCAACAGAATTTCAAGAAGTCTCAAAAAGAGGTTCAACTTTTCATCCTGAATGACTGGCGAGCTCGTGTCGGATTCAAGTTCCTATGAGCCGACAATGGCCATTTTCTGTGACAATGACCTTAGCCTGGGTTTGTCGAAAACGACAGCTTTGTGGGCGAGTGCTCTACGAACACAGCGAAGGCATTCTCAATGATTGTCGGGTCGTAGACGTAAAACGAATACATTATGGCAGAGAACAAAGCCGGTGCATATATCCGGCGCTGGGAGAGATAGCGAAACGCATTGCATGCATGGAAATATGAGCTTCGGGACCTACTTTGCATGGAGGGCGACTCTTCGGACACAATTCTCGAACAATACTACGATTCGCATCGACTGGGGACAGGCTTTGATCATTTGGATGAGCCGATTGTGGTCAACCGACTCGACGTCTTCTCCGTTAATTGATAGAATCACGTCTCCGGCTCGCATTCCTGGAAAATACAGTCGTCAGAAATCTTCACCCAATATCGAATAATTTATTGATTGATAGTTCATCGAATGATTTGATCGAGTTCTCCCGGACTCGATTATCCTCGATCAGCATTCCTTCCTCATGAGATTGAGCGCACAGACGTTGAAGCTCGAAAACTCGATCCTCAAACTCTCCACCGAGACTCTGCAAAACCTAATTATAGAGACCACAATAGGGCTCATGAGAGTCCCTCCGCCCAGATAGTTCCGCCGGGAAACCGAGTCAAGTCCTGGGAGCGGAACGAATAATGTTCGAACGACCAAGTCGCGTCTTTGTGAATCTCTCCGCGATCGCTCAGTCGAGCATTCGATTCTGCTTCTGAGTTCCCGAACATGGTGAAGGGATAGTCGTGTAGTCCCAAGGATTGTGATATCTGTTGCCAGGTGTGCCGATCGTTTGGTCAAAAGAATTTGCTCCGCAATGCACGATGAGTCTTCCTTTGTAGCTCGTCATTTGTCATGCAATTGATCATTACTGTGCAGGCATTTTGAGGCAGCGAGAGTCAGAACTCACCGGCTTTGGCAGCGGGTCCGTAAGGTTCCAGGGAGTCTACGTAGCTGATCAGCTCGATTTTCGAATCATCTTTATGGCGTATGCCGTAGGTTTGGAGCGTGAATCCAAACGAGCCTCCTTGAGACCTGTCCCGGTTGACTATAATCGTTCTACGTCTGTGGTCTTCGTGTGCAGAAGTTGGTATGGCCCTGTCGAGAATAAGAAACCTGTGAATTCAATTCTACACTGGACTCACGTTATTCGCCGCGAGGCGACGTCTCGACAGAACGCTTTCTCCGATTCAGCAACATGCTGGTCGCGTTCGAAAAGCGGGCGCGAAACCTTTGCGTTGTTTCTTCGAGTGACGATCCGTATTGTTACACTTGCTGCGGCCGATGACAGAAGAGAGACCGATGTTGTTTTGCTGAATTCAGTGGTTTGCCAAACCGCATTGACTTGGTATGGTTCAGCAGAAACAGTTACGTTCGCCCCGCCCTGGTTTTTCCAACAAGTCGAATGACTTACGAAGCGGATATTCGCTCCGTGCTGCGACGTTCCTCGTCCGGGACGTATTAATTGATAGCTGAATAATAGATTAGTGTTTTTTTGGGGTCGAGGGTGTAACAACCTGGAGCTCACCGATCTTTGAGAATATCTTCGGGTAGATCGTTGACTCGACTGGCCATGTACGACGTGAAACCTCCCTTCTTGGTCTGAGTGATGAAGTGTTTGGCGTGTTGGTGCTGCTTCGATCCGGTCGTGCTCCGCGAACTCTGACTCCGAGGCATGCCGTCACTCCGGGGTGCTAACGGAAGGGTATTGTGCCCACTGACCGGATTCATATTCTGAATGGGATTTCCTGGAATCATGAGCAGGCTGCTAACGAGGGTAATGACAAACAGGATAAACTTCCACGCCGATTGGTCACCATGAATCAACTCTGCAGGCCTGTCAAGAGATTTGGCTCGAAATGAATTCCGACTCGGTCTTGGAACGAGAAAGCTCCTATCGCGGAGGAGAACGATCGACGAAAGAGCAGGGTTCCACGAAACGTTTCCGAAGCCTCGCGCGCGTAACGGCACGAGCGAGTTTCCAGAATAATTGGGATTGTCGAGCTCAAGATATGTACTGAGATTCGACTCCGGACAAGGAATACGCAGAAGATGTCGCACTCCCGATTCCTCATTCATGAAGATGAATTTATTTCAATGATGATCGACTATTTTCCTTCCGCCGCCATAGCACAGATTCTCTGGGTCTCCGTGAGTCGAACCAGATGGCAGAACGTTCATGAGAGAAGATGGCTTTTAATGCCGATAGATGCCGATCTGTTCGCGTGCATGTACTCGAAGTTCTGACTCAATGATAGACGTCATTATCCCCGCTCGAAGAGTCCCTCAAACAAGTGAGTCTATACGCAGTCGTACTCGCGGAGGCTCGTAGAGGTCCATCCTTTGCTAAGAAAGCGAGCAATCATCCAACCCCTAATCCTAACTAACACGACTGATTGCGAGGACGGATTCACGTGCTGACCGCTCGAACGTGAGACATCAAGCAAACGATTCGCGAACCCAATCATTAGAAGAGACGTAGCGACGCAATTGATTACTGTCGACATCTCATCGATTCGAGAGCTCTATTCCGTATCGTCCGTCGAGCATCTGATCGAAGCGATCCCAAACGCGGACAGAATTTACATAACCGACCGGATGACGTCAACAAAACATTCTGATCCGGGTGAATTCTGGTGATTTACCTTGGGAGCCGGGTTCGGGGATCAGGACCCGGCGGCACTTTTCCACTGGGTCGCCAGCGGTTCTGTCCTCAGAAAGATTCGAAACTACACAGCGTTGGTTCTGCTGCTGCTGCTGCTTTGTCGCCACACTGGTGTACTGCTACGGCTTCCACCAATGCTATTACACAGCCTTCCTCGTCGACACATGCGCCCTCTACGATCCACATAGAGGACGAAAACACACTCGAAACACCGCCTATGGAACTTCGATTGGTGAATTTGAGCCGAAAAAACAGCGTCCCACTAACAGAAAGCGACAGTTCGGAAAGGGAGCCATATGCGGCAGTTTTCGGCACCTCATTGGTTCGGCTACTTTGCTATTCTGAGGCGTTCTGCTTGGGACTTAGACCCCGGCCCCCTCCACGATTCCCTCGGAATCGATTGCTGGATAACTCCATCCCATTTTCAGAAAATCCAAACATCGACAAGAGAATTCCGATGTTCCGAACCAATGCACACACTGCGCGAATCCCAGAGAATTCTTTCGGTTCCGTGAGGAATCCGTTCCGGCTGCGCGAATTCCCGGAGCAGCTGACGCTGACAGAAGTTTGAATTTAGGCGCGCTTTCAAGTTGAGACTAGCCAGGACAGAGGGAGCTCTACCGAGTGGCGGGTGCTCGGGGGTTCCTCGTGCTCGTCAGATTGGGGAATGTCTCCGAGCGGTGAGGATCCCGCTGCGTGAACTCTACCTCCGAAGTAGACACGTGATTGTGCCGTGACAGCTAGTGATGATCTCATCGAATGACTGACAGTGTCCGGTGATTACTCGCGTTATGTGATTGAGTTTACGAGTGGGAGAACGTTTGACGATGTTCGTCGTGACGGAGGACAATAATTATTTAATTTCTCAAGTCGGACAATTCGGTTAAAATGGAGAGAAGGATCGCATGGAGAACTAGAGGTAATTCCAGCACCGATTCAAATAGTGGTGGCAACCATCGTGGACTCCTTGTCTCTATCTAAAACAATCGATCGCGTGAGGCGGGAAACATCCCGTACCGAGCTTCAATGAGCGAAATTCCGGCGCCATCCGGTCTGTTTCCTCGTCTAGAAGTTCCCCCTCTCGGTCTTTGCTGCGTGACAGAAGACAGAATTTACACGCTGGGGCACGATTTTCACTGAAGGATAGAGTTCAGCGAGCGAAACATTCTGACATCGAGTTCTCGGCACAAGCGATGTTAAATCTGATGATCTCGAAAGTATCGATTTCACGATTCGTTGACGTACGTCGTAAAACCGTATCAAGTGCATAGCAAATGATCCCTACGAGAAGTTCGCATATTTCCCGGCGATGAGAACAGCAATCACACCACCGTGGCACGTACAGGAGTGGGAGTGGACGGACGGGGAGAAATGATAATAGTGCCGGCAAGCGAAGCAATCAGTCTAGTGAACACAACTTTCGGTCCAGGAATGCAAGGAATACAGAGCTCCACGTAGAGCTGAATTCTTCTGTTGCTCGACTCGCTTCGCGCCCTCTTCCGTCTCTCCGGTACTTCTCCGCCGCCTTGGCTTCCTGCGATTCTGCCTTCTTATCGCGCTGTTCTTCTTCTTGCTGCCAACACTTAACCTTAGACTTCCTTCGTGGATACCTCCAAGCAAACGCAGCGTGCTGAAGGCATTTGAACTTGAACATGCGCTCGGGTTCCCGGCGATCTGAAACTTCAGCGATGGGTGTTCGATTTCCTGCACATCATTTTTTTTCTCGAACTCGTTGCACCTGTTTGTGCCGGGGCTCGTTTCGAGTTGCGGCGATCTGTCTCGATCCCGCCAACAAGACGACTATTAGCCTCAATGGAGACCTATGGTACTCTGGTATGGGATTCCAGTGCCAGACATTGAATTATCCGAACCCTCATAGAGTCTATGCCTCTACGTACCGCGAAGAGCCGCTCCGTGGATAGGACGCGAAGTCGACCGTCGTCTGGCGCCGCGGCGCTTCGACTTCGGACCTCGAGACTTGGGACTGATCGCGCGAGCTGATCAGCGCTTCAAAGGGATCGTTAAATATGACTCTAGTGGCTTCCCATTTCCTGAACCATCTGCCGGCCTTGCGGTCATGTCTCTGAGTTGTGGGTTTGTTTTCGTTCCGTGTAAGAGAATGGCTGCTTATATTATTCAATCTTCGATGAACTCACGTATTTGAGTTCCTCACGATTTTAGAAATGCGTGCGCACGGCCAGCTCGTGCACTGAGAGCATCTGTCCGCAGCTCCAGCTCGTTCGAGCGAGCGAACAATGCATATTTGTTTAAGAGAGAAAATGTTGCTTCCTCATTGGTCCACGCCTGTTTTTGCATTCACGAGGCTCCTCGGGTGTTCGAAGTGCACGGGAATGACTTTTTTTCGCCGTGCCGTGAATGCTCAGACGCATCGTCAAAGGGTTTTGAGCATCGGCTCGAGAAGGCTCGATCGTTTTTGGGGACGATGACGATGATGATCTCGAGGACTGAAGCCATATGGCTTCTGTTCAGAATCGGCGATGACCACGGCAACATACGAACATATGCACACCAAAGAGGGAATTACGATCTGTCGCCTCTTTGTCCGCCATGTGTTGTCCCTCATTCATCAGCTGTTTTCCACGCTCCAATGGCCGTCAACCCGGGAAATGACGTTCAATTGATGCTCATCGGGAATTTTCTCGAGAGGCGAGGTCACTTTCTGCAGTAATTCGAATCGCGTCCGATGCGGAGCATCGAGAGCAGCGTGACGAGCTCCGGCGGATTCATAACTAATAATTACCCTTGTTTCGGAAGGAGCTGCTGACTTCTGTGCGCCGAAGTATTACTTTTAGCCGGTCGGAGGGTGGAGTTATAATATACAGCAGAAAGGAGAAGAGAAAAAAAGCAATTTTATGACTTGCTCGGAGAGCTGCTGCGCCGGAGAAGGATATAAATATAAATACGTCGGGGTTGCTCCGCTCGCCCGTCCATCCATCCATCGGTCCGTATGTATTCACTATGATGTGGCCATCAAAGCAAGTTATTTTAATTAGATTGAAACACCTCGGACGAAAGTTTACGGCTCCGCAGGACGTCAGTCCCGATCTCGGTGCTAGTAGCGGGCCGCCGGAACGAGCTCTGGACGCAACGAGCAAAACCAACCTCGAGGAGAGAGCACACGCTCGCACACACGCTCACACGCACGTCCGTGCATCGGATCGGTCAACTAAAAGCAACGTCAAAGAAACGTCAAAGGGTGATGCTGATCATTCCGATGATGACGTCGGGGCTCGGTACCACGCGCGACTGTACCGAAATACGATCGGCTTTCTCGATCCGATTGCAGCCGTACTGATGGTTCGCACGGCTCGATGGGCCGATATTGACCCAGGGAGAGATCTCATTAAAGTCACAATTCTTCCTACCGCTGCTGCTGCTGCTGCTGACCCCTCCACCTCTAGTGGCAGGCCTGGGATCCGGTGGGGGTTGGAGCGACGGTTCTCTGAAATTGTAATGGATTGAAATCGAGGGAAATGGTTTTAATTTTCTTTCCACCTGATGACTCGGAGCGAAGCATTATTTGTCGCTCGACCCCAAGCACCGACAGGAGCTACTCTATGGTATGCTCCCCTTGATCGAAGGAACGTCTCCTGTCGCGGGATCATCCTTCGCAGCTCGTATGAATAGGGCATTTCCCGAAAATTCCATCGTCAACCCGAAAAATAAATCATGGACCATATATGTAGGTATATAAGAAAATTATGAGATCTGAACCATATCGGATCCGCGTGTTGCGTAGGAGTCGAACGTGAAGCGAAGCACAATACGCAAAGCCCTAATTCCGCTCGGCTTGTTGGAAATGTGCTTCCGATTTGTATCCCGATCTGGGTCGTTCCTATATGAGCACTTGCAACGCTTGCGGCCCCGGTTGTTCGGTCCCTGCGGCAGCCGTAACAATGAGGGAGGGCTGTTTGATCTCGAGGGGTCGCGTCTCGGACAATTGACCGAGACGATTTGTTTCGGGCGGGGCAGAAAGAATTGGCGAATCTCAAATCCTTTTGGCGTTATCAGCATCGATGTCGGCTCAGCTGGTGTTTTGATTCTTTCTCTCACTCACTCAGTTGTCCGCGTCCCGCACCGTTGCCGGTCTATTATTCGGGAGCAGAATGTCTTTTTCCCCGCCGTAGACGCATATGGGTGGACTGTTTCCCCTTTCCGTACCGATGACGATACGACTAAATTGACTAGTTCCCCATCCACTGTATCGGCTCATACGAGCATCCGAGGTTTCGCGTCGTTTCTTCTTCGCCGAACGGTCCTTGTCGCAGCCTTGCGTTAGTGACTTCGCATCCATCGTGAGACAGCGTCGTCCGGGGCGACCGAGCGTAACCGGCCTCTGAGTTCCAGGGTAACTTTTCGGAACGCGCCGCTGTTCTCCTGGGCTTCACCGGGCCAGGGAAAACATCCTCCGTCCCGAGACGAAGGGACGAATCAAATGAGGAAAAGCGGTAACCCCGCCGTTTCCCCCGGGCGCCACCTCCTGAGGAGCTCAACCTTTTTTTTTCTTTCGCCAAAGAGACAATGCAGAGACTCCAGTCTGGCAACATCGTTCCGTCGATCGCTTGCTGGCCGAGAGCTCTTCTCTTGATTTTTCGGTCCCTCCGTTATTCGGGAAATTCAAGAACAGAGAGATAACGAGGTTGACCGTTGGCTGTGAGCGTACCACCCTTTTCGCTCTTTTTTTTGCTCTCTTTCGAAGAGGAGCTCTGTTTGGAATATTATGATAATTTTATTTTAAGCATAAGAATCATCGCCAGACCAGATGACTTTCCTCGCTTGCTGTGACGCGGTTGACTGCGCTGACTGACTCGGACCGAACGCGAATGGTGGAAGCGAGAAGCAAAAGATAAAGGCCAAAAAATATTTGACTTTTATTAAAATGGCGTTCCTGTTTCGGTCGCCCTTCTTCGCCGTCCTGCTGAAGCAGCTTTTTGTCAGCCCGCGCCCTCAAAGTTCAGAGTGAAAACCCTCGGAGCCAGCGCTCTACGACGAGCCTACCCACCGAACAGCCGGCCAGCTGAGAGTTTCTTCAATGGCAGATGTGTTCGGATCGATGCTGCGTCCAATACCAAGACTAACAAGGAGCAGCGG